TGGGTCTCAATTACAGTCCTCTCGATACGAATCTATACGTGAAAATGTCACGATTCACAGCATAGACGTCTAGCCAAAATTTAGGCGTGTCACCGATTTCGCCATGCTCCGCCGAAGTTTACTTTGTGCGTTTAGAGGGTAAATATGATGATAGCAAATTGAGTGTTTATTCTCTTCATTATATTGTTGACTCTCTTCTTAATACTTGTTCATTTTCACTCTTCATTACTAACTACTTGTCCATTCACTTACACTTACACTTAAACTACTTATACTTCAAATTAACTATTGTTCTCGCCGCCCTGCGGCCCGATTGTCTTTCCAAGATATTACTATATAAGTTCTTTTGTATATACAGGATCAAAACTTTATACAAAAAAGAATACAAGAAGAGGCCGGAGGTCCAATGTCCAGTACTGTCAAGTCCATGTCTCGGTGCCCTGCCTTGCCGCTCGGTATCCACTCTTTATTGTAATCTTCTTCTTATTGTTCTTTCTCACTACACAAACCCTTTCATCCCAGTTCCTTCTTATTGTCTTATTCTCTATCCTGCAGGTACTACACATATAGCTCCTAGTAGTTAGTCTGGCGCTCTGCCCCAATGCACCGATCTGTAGATATAAATACTGCCTGTATGATACTGTAGTTCCTCAGTTTAATTATCAACATAGATCGTCCTCTCTACTTAGATCATTAGATGTTTGCCTCTCGTCTTTAAGTCTTCTCCACTCTGACCTTAGAACTTATAAGTTCTTTGGTTCGCTCCCCGTCATCAGCATTACTGCCGCTCCGATCTGGCTGCTACTGGTTCTCTTCTTCTCTACTCTCAATCTCCAGGGACTAACAGTGTAATGGTGGTGCTGTTAATAACTTCACTACTGTCCCATTCGACCCTCCGCCCTTAGACACCTTGTGGCCTCTGGCACGGTTACACGGTGTACATGATCTTAACAGGTACTCTATGCTACTCTGCCCTCTCCTTTCCCTTTACCGACCCCGCCTTCTTCAGCGCTGGCTCTTCCTCCTCTTCCTCCTCTTCTTCTGCTCCTCCCTGATTCTTCTCCTTCTCCTTCTTCTGTTCCTCTTCTTCTCCTTCTTGGTCTTTCTCCTCTTCCCTCTCTCTCTCTTCTTCCTCCTCATCGCTATCCACAACCCTTTTTCTCTTCCTCGGCAATTCCAATGGCCCGGTCTTCGGCATCTTGGGGGGAGATTTTCTCCGCCTAGCGGCATCCATCATCAACCAATCCAGCTTCCAGTTGATGTGGTGATGGTAGGTGTTGGCTTTTACCTGGCCCTCCCGAAGCTGCTGGTTGTCGGCAAGTAATTGCGCCATCTGGCTCTCCAGCACAGCGATCCGCTCTCCAGTTGGGTTTGACCCCCCTTCTTGCCTTGTCGCTACCGGCCAGCCTGAATACAAGCACCGCACCTTCGAGTCGTGGCACAGTTTGCAGATAACCATACTCCTCTTGCCCTCTTGCTGCAGGCAAGGGATCTTCTTAATTTGACACCGCTCACAGGGTGCCCTTTCTTCTTCATCTTCATCATCATCCTCCCCATCGCTTCCGTCGTTGCCGTCATCAGGATCTCCGGCCTAGGCAACAAATTGAGTAAAGTATATGTATAAAGTTAATTACCACTTACCTCCATACTCTGTTTACCTGTTCCCTACTTAATTATTCAGGGAACCTCTACCTCCATCTGTCTACAAGAGGTGGAGGCTTCAACAGGAGAAGGCCCCTGGCAACTTCTCGCTGCCGCAATTCTCCTCCTCTTCTCTGCTGCCTCTTCCTCCATTCTCCTGGTGCTCGCGGCCCGAGCGGCAGCCTCCTGTCTCTGTCATTCTTCCTCCGCAGCCCGCCTCACCGCCTCCTCTTCTGCCCTCTTCTTGGCCTCCTCCTCAGCCTTCCTCTTCTCCTTCAACTTCCTCATCCTCTCCCTGGTACATTCCAGCTGCAGCTCCAGCTTGCGCTTCTTGTCGGAAGCACTCAGCGTTGTGGGGCGAGTTGGTGCTGGTGGTTGGTTACCATTCCCAGCGGTGACCGGGATGGAGCCGATGTCGGAGGTGGTTTGAGTAGTAGTGCAGCTAGTAGACATTGGAGGACTTAGAAGTTTTTGGATTGGAGGTCCAAGGCGAAAACCGGCCTAGCTTTATAGGGTCAAAATTGCGCACAGAGCAGGTCAATCCTCAAATTGTAATCAGCGTACGGTGGACCAGCAAAATTCTTTCCTGCTGACTAAAAGGATAAAATCCCAATGCTGACGGCCTCCAGAAAATTATGACTAATAGTAAAAACCGATACTAACGGCTTTTGAGGGCTCAAGCCTAAGAGGGGGATACTATCAAGACCATGCTCGGCGCTCCCTGCCGGTGTTGGCTTTCCAAAGATCTGGGACTTATTGTAATCTTTATCTTATTGTTCTTTCTTGCTACACATTCCCTTTTGCCTTAGTCTAGTTTTATTGTCTTATTTCTTACCCTGATGGTACTAAATGTACTGCCTCTATTAGTTAGTCTGGCGCTTCACTCCGAGCCGCCGAGTAGTTGATATAAATACTCCTGTACTGTACTTTAGTTTCTCAGTTTAATTATCAACTTAGATTATCCTTATCAACTCAGATCATCCTCTTCAACTCTTCAGGCTCGTCACCTAGAAGTACTTTGACTCTAACCTTGGGACTTACAAGTCTTTTGGTTCGCTCCTCGTCGCCAGCGACATCACTGCCCCGACTTGGCTGCTCCTGGTTCTCTCCTTCTCTACCCTACTCTCCAGGGACTAGCGGCGTAACGGCGGTGTTGTTAATAACTTCACCACTGTCCCACCACAGCTTCTGCCCTTAGTTACCGATCGGCCCTTGGCACGGCTAACCAGTATACAGGATCTTAACAGACACCCAATTTCTGAAAGTAGGTGTAATCACAATAGTGGTGGTTCAGAAAAGGTTATGTATGGGACATCATGATGCTATTGTCACCTTTAGGATATAGGAATTGCAGGTTGATTTTTACTATTTGAGTAGTGTTCAAATAAAGGGGGGCTATTGTGCTGCATGAACTATAAAGTACAAAGTACAAACTATAAACACAGCATAATTCTCCACTCCTCACTATACTCGAGAACCCAAGAGGGCGACCAGGTGGTTTGGTTGGTTGGCTTAGCTCCCACTACCACTGGTGTGTTATTTTCGGGGTACTCACCCTTTCTACTTGGTAAGTACCCCTTGCTTTGGTCACCAGGTTTTGTGGATGTAGGATTGGGAAGAAGGAGGAGGAGAAAGAAGTAAGTGATGATGAAGAAGATGACTGAAGACTGATGGGTGTGATGGATAAGGGTCAACATAGTGGATTTTGGGGGTTTGTTATGTATCATGTATTATATATTTAATAATGTTGTTATGTCTATGATGTGTGATCATTGGCTTTGTGTTTTGTTTATCTATGTGAGATTATGATGTATGTTTGTGTTTTTTGTTTTTGGTCTTTTGTTTTAGTGTTTGGTTCTTGGTTTTTGGTTTTTTTGTTATACAGTGGGCACTACTTAGTAGCAACCTTGTTTGTTTGTTTGTTCAAAGGTTTCTACTTTATTGGGTTCATCTTAGATACATGTACCTCGGTACATACTACATAGTTCCACTCCTCCCCCCCTTGCTCTTTACAAAGGACATATTGTTGTTCCGGATGCATTTTCAGAGTTGGGGGAAGTGCTATGCTAGTAGTGTAGCTCTAGGATGTGTAGTTGACTACTATGTGATACTTGGTTTTGTGGAGTACTGTGTATGTAGTCTCCTCCCTGGGTTTTGGATGTTTGAAATAGTGGTCTGAGTATTAATCATTTAAGAGAATTGCAATTTTGGGGCAGAGCATAATTCTATTCTACTAATACTGCTCAACTTCTCTAATAACATTGTTTTCCTACGTATCCAAAGATATGGTCTAATAGTGTAGAGGTTATCACACGGGATTCTGATATGGGGGATATCACATCTAGAATTCCCGTGACCCAGGTTCGAGTCCTGGTTAGACCTTTTGTGACTTTGAAAGACCATTCATTGGTTGGTCGGCCGGTGTCTTTTTTTCTTTTCTCTTTCTCAACCCCGCTGGATCTAGTTTTCAGGACTATAGAGCGAATTACACGAGAATACGACGAACACGCCGACGAGTGTTTGTGTATGATTCTATGGTACCTCGGGCACCAGCGGTAGTTGGCAGATTGCCAAAGACGATAAAGCAGTTGTTGGAGCAAGGTTCTTCCTCGACGACTACACTCACCTCGATAACTGGCCACGTCCGGTCGATTCGCCGCCAAAAACGGTGCACGTTCGCGTTGATCGAGGATGGGAGCACATCGAAGGGGCTGCAGGCTGTGTTCAAACACGGGGCTCAACGCGAAGATGCGGGTACGGCTACGGCTATGGTGGAGAAACTCAGACAACTGACGTTCGGAGCTGCGGTGAACGTTACTGGGAGGCTGGTGGAAAGTACGGGACCGGGGCAGGACGTGGAGTTGGTGGTAGAGGGAGTAGATGGGGTGGATGTGGTAGGGAAATGTGATCCGGACACGTATCCTCTGCAGCCGCATCACTCTGTCGCGTCGTCGTCGTCTGGTACGCACTCGGCCGAATACCTCCGCGAACATCTACACCTCCGTCTCCGTACGGCCGAAATCCAACACACGATGCGTCTACGCGCCAAAGTGAAAGAAGCCCTGGAGGGGTATTTGACGGGGGAACAGGAGTTTGTGTATGTCCATACTCCGGTCATCACCGGGATTGATGCGGAGGGCGGGGGGGAGAGTTTTAGAGTCGGGAAGATAGCAAAGGAGAAAGAGGGAGAGGACGAGGAAGGAGAGTTTTTTGGACGACCAGCTCATCTGACTGTGTCGTCCCAGCTTCATCTGGAAGCGTTCCAAGCCGCGCTCGGCAGGGTTTACACTCTCGCTCCGTGTTTTCGAGCTGAGAGAAGCATGACAGGGAGACATTTGGCAGAGTTTTGGATGCTAGAGTGTGAATGGGGTGGGGGGGATGGCGACTTGCACGGTCTGTGTACTTTTGTCGAAGACATGCTACGGTACACCATCGCACGTGTTCTTTCCATTTCCAACCTATCTCCTAGTCCAACACATATCGAACTTGATCACGCAGCGTTCAGCCAGAAACCCTGGCCCAGAATTACATACACCGAGGCTATACATATCCTACAACACGCTGAATCTCAACACAAATCCCCGGAACCCCTCTTCACCTACCCACCGACTCTGGGACTTGCTCTACAATCCGAACACGAGAAATATCTCGCCGAGGTTCAGTTCAACGCTCCGGTGTTTGTGTTGGACTATCCCCGGGGTGTCAAACCGTTTTATATGAGGGTCAATCCAGTGACAGACAAGGGCGGTCTAGAAACTGTAGCGTGTTTTGATTTACTCGTTCCTCGGGTTGGCGAACTCGTGGGGGGCAGTGTCAGAGAAGAGAGGTATGAGGTTTTGAGGGCTAGTATGGTCGACGCCGGGTTGATTCCTTCGTCCTCTTCGCCTCCCCCCTCGTCCCCCTTACACTCCTCCCCTTCTCCCACCTCCAAAAAACCACACAACGAGAACCCCTATGAGTGGTACCTCGATCTCCGCCGCCACGGGTCCGTCCCCCATGGGGGGTTCGGGATGGGGTTCGAGAGGTTGATTTTGTGGTTAGGCGCAGGGGCAGGAGGTGGGGGGAGTAGTGAGGGTATAGGTCAAGACGGGGGCATGGCTATGCCAGGTATAGGGAACATCAGAGAAAGTGTGGGGATGCCGAGGTGGAAAGGGTGGATGGGGATGTGAACTCTTCAGCTGAAGGGTTCATAGGCTCAAAGTTGAGTGTGTAGCGCGAGTGGATGGTAGGTGAAAAAGAATCTACAAATATGTGGGGGAAGATTCTTTCTTTTCTTTTCTTTTTTTTGGATTTAATAAGTGGTTTATGCAGTTATTGATTAATGTATATAGTAGAGATTGATATAAGACCCTCTGCTCGGACCAGATCGATCTTGGATGCTTGAGTTTTTTTTGTTTGAGGTTGAGGTTTTGGTTTTGGTTTTGGTTTTGGTTTTTTGTGTCTTTTTTTTTTGGTTTTTTTTCGTTGAGATTGTACATTATGAGAGGTCATGAGTGAGTGATATGAGATTACCGGAAAAAATTTTCCCCTTTACCAACGTACTATCGACTCCCCTTGCCAAAGTCATGTTCCAGGACATGATCTCCGAGTCCGAAGTGATATACTTGCTTCGCACATACTTAGCATTATATCGAGTGTGAGTGTATCGAGTGTGAGTGTCCACTGATACCCCCCTCAATCGCAAGGTTTGAATTTGAGTAAGTAGCAGAGAGGGATACTATGGTAGTAGTATCGACGGCTATCGACGGGCTACGGCGTGGTCGTCCCGAAGAATTCATGTGGAGATGGTGATTTAGTTGATTAATCATGGCATTCGTGTTGTTATTTATGTATGTGTGTGTGGACAAAAAGATTGACTTTGACTGGGAATTTTCTATCATCTTCATCATCATCGTTGCGGTCCTGGGGAGCACCGCGATGTTCGCGTTGTTTCTACTTGTATCGGATGTCACACTTCAAACTCACCCTCCTAGGTTTGCGAGGGATCCCTAGCACCGCAGCCGCATACGAGCGCATACGGTCTGTGGATGAGCTTCAATCGGAGTCGATGATGTCTCCGTTCAGTGCACATGGAGGCTCGTGGGGGTGCTCATCAGAACAAGAACACCTCAACCGGTTTCGCAAAAAAAAAAAAAACCCAGTGCACACCCGGCGCCGCACTCGACGTTCCAACGTTCATCCCAACCCGACAGCCTGAGCGTGAAACAAAACCAAACCACCCCCAATCCGAATCCGAATCCGAATCCGGATCCGAAATCGCTAAAAAAAAGTCCATCACGGCCGTCAACTAGCAGATTCAGAGTCCAGTCCAAAACCACATTGCAACGGCTGAGGAATTCTTCGTTTTCGAGGAGATTACAGTGGGGGTGGGGTTCCGAGGGTTATTAAAGAGACTCGGTCTGGGTACTATGATTCCATATTATTGGAAAGTGCAACCAAGTGCACGATGCAAAAAAAAAAAAAAGAAAGAAAACCCACAACTTGGTTTCGAACCGGTGTGTGTACGGAAGACTAAGGACTGGCCACAAGGACGACTCGGACTCGGGAGTCAGTGTCAGTTCCCGCAATGACAGTCGTCATCTTGGTAAGGGTAATAATTATACTTAGCATCCTATGTAGGAGTAGTGATATCGGAATGGTGGATCATACTCTGTATTTGCTTTGCTTTCGGGGTGTTATTCAGGGTGTTTGTGTTTAGCGCTGATCATGCCAGTGATTGACTGGCCTGGTGTGGTGATCGAGGTTCAAGGCAAGGCGGTGTGAACGCGGCTTGGACGGGATAGGTTGTTCGACAGCGCGGGCTTGGGATGGGATCTGTTGGCTGGGTGATTGCGATGATTCGAAGGGAAGGATGGGGTGCTTGGTTTGACACTGCCGGGGTTGGAGGAACGGAACGATGAACGCTCGAGCGGGGAGGGGGTTCAACTGGGGTTTTCACTGGCAGTTGCGGGAATGGTTGAGGTGTTTTGATAGAAACCCTGGAGAGGGAATATGGAGGTCGTAATTACTAGTGTGGAACTTGATAAGCACCCCATGAGCGTTGGAGGGAGGCATGGTTCGCATGAATGAATCTTCGTTTTAGTAGATCAATGAAGTTTTTTTTTTTTTGGTTGAAGGGAACTTCACTCCTCTGATGATGGTGATTTCACTACTGGACGTGCGAAAAAGATAAATCCGCAAGGTCGGTGTGTACGGCGTACACATTTTGTGACCAACCATGGGAAGTACTAACAATCATGGTGTTAAGTTAAAGCATCCTGGGAGATATCGGAATGGTGTCTATTATCTGTATCTGCCTCAACTTGGGTGTTTAGCGCGGATCAAAACTTGAAGGGCCTGGGTATTGCGATAGTTCAACGTTGTAAACGGCGGTTTAGATGAGTTTGTTGAGGTTGTTGGTTGAGTTCGATGATTTGGGTTGGTTTGTGTCACAATGGGTCGACGATGTTGCGTCGACAGCCGAGCGATAAGCGCGTTCAATGGAGGTATTCGGATTTTGACTGGGGATGCATTAAGCTTTGAGAAGTCAAAGCACTGCCGGTGGAGCCTGAACTACTAGCCCGAGGAGGGAACTTGGTCAGAATCAGAATAGATGGCTATAGATTTACACATTGTGTAGATTAGGTTCACCTTTGGAACCTGGAGAAATATAGACAATTTCACGATTTTCATCCATACAATTGCAGACATATGCTCTCGTATGCATTTCTAGCCTATTCTAGCGCCTCCCCCCCCTAAAAAAACATTGTGAGCCACAATGACAGAGTATGATGTGTACCATTGATCGACTCGGAGATTGAATATTGAATTCTTCAGCGTGCCTCGGAGTCGGTGAAAATCAGAAGACGGAACAAGAAAAGAATCTCCTGGAAGGCTGGAAGAACAAGCAGAACGTCAGTTCTGTGATATATAAAGGTCCAACCTAATCAGTGCTTATCTAATCATTCATTCTTTACCATGTAACCTTGCTCCCATACAACTTTTCTCCCATCGTGCGTCTGATTTTTCCTGGTCTGATGCGTCGTTCTTATCAGGCTTCAGTTCCTCGCGCTACTAGGAATTTCTTGAGATGGAACGAACTGAGAGTATTTTTTCTCCTCGATTAACATCTGCAGTGGCACTGTCCGCGTACCACGCTCCATTTGAGCTTTCTTTTCAAGCTCTGGACGTTGAACGCTGGAACTGCCCTCGGGAATTAGCTTCGAGTACGTACCAGACTCAAGCATGGCACCGCATCGATTTCCACGTACGATTTTAGCATGAAGGGGCGTCTACCTCATCTCGCTCCCTCCCCTGTTTCTTTTCCCCGGTCGTTGAATTTTCACTGCCACTTCTAGTATATACTTTTGACCCAAGTAGTTGCCTGAATAAATCATGATTCA